TTCAAGTTTAACATATGAATATATGCACACATGCATATGTAATATTAAGATTTCAGGGATGAAAACCTTATGTTAGGACAAGGAAAGTCTCATAGTTGGGAGCTCTCCCAGCCTAGGGAGCCCCTCCTACTTCCCAAGGAGTAGGAACATGCTTTCTTCTTTCCTGCTGGAGGGTGGGAAAATGTGAACAGGGGACACACCAAGTGACTGTGGAAGGGCAGTGCCTCGTGATTAGAGGCAGGAGATCTGCCCTCAGGCCCTGGCCCCAGCCCTCACAGGTGTCCCAGAGCCAGTCATTTCCTGTTCTGGTCCTCAGTTTCTTCATCTGTCAAATAGGAATAAAGAAGCCCTTGCTGCCTCCCATACAGCAAGGTGGCTGAAGACTCCAATGAAAGAATCGTTCTGTAAGGACCTTGTAACTGTTAAGTGCTGAACAATTGTAAGTTGCTGATACTGTCCCAGGCCTGGAGAGAGGGGATATGAGACTGGGGGCTCAATGTGGTCAGGAGAGGAAAAGGCCACAGGAGTTTGATATCAGGCCCTGTGAGTAATAACCTGGCGCCTTTGGCCCTTCTCAGCTATACCATTGAACTATTGCATCTACTGATTTAGGATTTTCCTCATAATTTCATTCACCAAACTGTGAGTCTATCAAAATGGTCAGGACCCTTTGGTCACATAGGGGCAGAAACCCAGCTTCAGCAAAAGGGACTCAGTAGAAAGCTGCCAAGTTTGGTCACATAGTTGAAGGAACTGCCGAAGAACCAGGCAGTTCTTGGAGCCTCAGGGACTAGAAATAGGGATTAAAGATACCAGGGGGCTCTCTCTGTCTTTCATTTCTGCTGCTCTCTGCCAAGCTTCATTCCCTCCTGCTGCAGACAGGCCTCGTGCATGTGAAGGGAAATGACTTCCAGCAGCAGGGGATCCAGATCCTTCAAGTACATATGTCCTTGTGTCTACCTCCACTCGGACAAATCCCAAGAAGGACTCTGATTGGCTTGCATCAGGTAGCCACCCCTGAACCAATCACTCTGTCTAATAGGATACTCTTATCGGCAGCCCCAAACACCAGCTAACTCACCTCACGCAGGCCTGGCCCTGGGCTAGGGATTAGAGATCAGAGTGAACAGGAAACAGCCCTGCACCTTGAGGAGCTCACAGTCTAGTGTGAGTGTGGGAAGAGGGTGGGCAGTCAGATCACTGAAGTGACCTAGGTACTAGAGAAGGGAAGGGCTGACAAAGGAAGGAGTTATTTGGGGGGTGGGGACAAGAGAGGCTGAAAGGCTTCATAGAGGAAGTAATGCTCAAGCTCAGACTCAGAAAACCAATGATTGTCCCATTCCCAGGCTGAGCTGGTGAGAAATGCCTTCCAGGCACAGGGAAGAGCTTGAGCAAAGGCTGGGCAGCATGGAGAGCTGGAGAGCCTTATATACCAAGCTGAAGAAGATGGGTTTTATCCAGTGAGTGGTGGTAAACCACTGAAGGGCTTGCATGGAGGCCTGCCATGGTGGCTGAAGGAAGGCCAGATAGGAGAGGACCAGACCAGGTGCCAGAGATCAGCTCCTGAGCAGCCAAAGCAATGCCCTGAGCAGAGAGTGAGGCCCCAAGCTGAGGCAGCTGCAAGAAAGGAGAGGAGAGGCTGCAGAGGTGGGAGGCAGCACTAAATCAGTAACTAGGTGTCAGGGCCAAAGGAGAGAGATGACTCCCTGGAATCTGGCTAGATTGAGTTTGAGGGACCGGGGAGGCATCCCAGTGGACCCGAGTCTGGAACTCTGAGGAGAGGCGAGAGCTGGAACCCATCAACAGTAGTGAGGTGGGGCAAGCATGGCAGAATCCTGAGGGACCTCAACACATGGGGGCTGGGCAGAGTGGGGGATGTCTGCATGGAAACTTTTTTGAAAAAGAATGGTCAGAGAGTTAGAAGGAGAGCCAAGAGAGTGGCATGCCAGGTAGTGGTTCCATGACCTGCCAAGAGGCGAGCCACACTTTATATCATTATCATAACATTGATAACAGGGAGGCAAGGAGTTCGTTTTGCTCGTTATCCTTTCATCCTCTGTTTTCTATTTTATTCATTTTTTTTAAATAAATTTTTAAACAGATTTGGAATTAAAATCCTCCTTAGAAGAATTCTCTGTGTCTGGTAATAATTTGCCAAAAATCTTTTTGTAATATTTATTTTTTAAAAAATCAAGAAGTGATTAAGTGAAGATTATCACCTCTGACCCTATTATACAGTTAATGTTTCCAACATTTGCCTTAAAAATGACATCAGACCTCATGATGTTTCTGTAGGTGTTGAAGGATGGTAGGGGCTCTTTTTTGTATCAGGCGTGCACATGGCAGGCACATGGAGAAGGCTCTGCCCGTTGCTTCTGAGGAGTTGGTTCAGGGCCCTGGAACACACCCCTGGATGGGTCCCGCTGTCATGCCCAGAGGCAAGCTGCAGACACGAGACAGAAGCAAGGGCAATTAAGGCCAGACCTCAGGAAGAGTTGCCCATTTCCTGAGAGAGTCAGGTACTAGGCAGTGAGATTAGGGCCACACCACTCCAGAGGGCATCCCGCCTGGCCCCTGGGGCCAGAGTGGGTTCCCCAGGGTGTGGCCTCCCAGGAGGAAGAAGGGGCTGCCTACCAGGATGGTGAAGCCAGGTGGTGGTGTTATGTCTGAAGCGCCAACTCCAGGGCAATGCCTACCAGTAAGCTGGGGCTCCCTCTGCCAAGCCTGGACCTGCTCCCCTAGGTGTGGTCCACAGATGTCCTGGGACACATCTGTGACTAAGAGGAATACCAGAATGTTTTAGGCCAGAACTTGGAGGGAGCCCAGGAGCCTAGATGTGGCAATGGCAGGAGCAGGACTGGCCTGTTGCCTCTGACCCCCTTCCATTGCCTCTGTCCTGCTGTCTGTCCAGCCCCAACACCACCACTGCCACCTTGCCCTTCGCATCTCCCCAGAAATAGGGAAGGGCCTCAGAAACCTTGCCTCAGTCAAAGATACCATCTCAAGTCAGCACTCAAGAAGCAGGTCTCCAGGGTATAGTCTCCCCAACCTAAGACCCCTGCCCTTCACAATGCCTTCATCCTCCACGCACCCTCAGTACCCTTTTCAAATATTATTAATGAAATATCATCTCAAAGGAATTTCCACAACAGCCCACATAGGAAGATATTATCCCGTTTTACAGATAAGGAAACTGAAACTCAGATGGGTTAAGTAACTTGGCCAAGGTCATACAGCAAGAAACTGGCAAAGCCAGAAATGCAAAATCAGTTGGTGCTTCTAAGTACCATCCCCTTCCAGCCCCACTCTCTAAGGGGCCATTAGTCAAAAAGCATGAGCTGGTTATTCCATAATTCCAGGCCCGATTTGTTTCTGAATTTGCATTTGATTTGCATAAGGGGTGTCACAGTACATAGATATCTTCCCTACACTGCCCCTTTCCCTCCATCCCAGCTCTCAGCCAGGCTTTTCCTCCTTGAGATGCCTGGCAGGCTGGGGAGCACCATCTGGTCCCTCCCTGTGCCAAGGATGCCTTTGCTGGTTCAGAGTGTTCTCTCCCACCGGCCACTACACAGTGTACCGAGTCAGGGTGCAAATCTGAGAGCAAACCTCCTGAAGGAGGAGCTGAGTGCCAGGCAGCCCCATTTCCGCCCGCAGGTATCAGGGCAGGGGCACCTACAGCAAGGGTGCAGGAATGGGCAAATGGGGGAGGGTCACCCGACCCAGACACATCCTCCGTCTTCCGTCTTCAGCCCCAGATTTAGCTGCCTTCTCACCTCCCACGCCTGCCCACTGCTGTCTGGAATGCTGGGAGGCTGGGAGAACTAGCAGGAAGACTGGGATGGGGAGAGGGACGGGAGAGAGCCCAGAGTCCAAGCCATCAGAGGGGATGATGGCAGGACAGGGCATGGGTCTGGTTCCCCTCTCCTCTCTCTCTCAACCTGCCCTGCCCAGAATGTCAGTCACAGGCGCAATGTGCCTATTGAACCGTCAGATTTTGTTGGCTTACTATGAAAACATATATGTAAAATATCTTATTAATAATTTAAATATTTATTACATATTTAAATGATAATATTTTGGATATACTGGGTTAAATATATGATTAATTTCATCTGTTTCTCTTTGTTTTGTTTTGGGTTTCTTTGGCAGTTGACTGGTATGGGGATCTGAACCCATGACTTTGGTGTTATAAGGCTACACTCTAACCAACTGAGTTAACCAGCAAGCCCCAATTCTTTACTTTTTTAATGTGGGAACTAGAAAATTTAAAATAACATAATATGACTTGCATTTTGTCTTGCATTATTTTTCTCTTGGCCAGTACTGTTCTCAATCCCTTTCTCAGGGGTCAGGTAGTTGCTGTTCTATAAAATACTTAGTGCAGGGAGCTGTTTTGACTAAATAGTTCTTTATTATACCTTGGTCTTTTGGCAATACACAGCCTCACCCCTCACCCTCAGAGGGTGTACCATGTAGGTTTCAGAGTATGAACTTGATAGACTGAGTTTAAATTCATCCTTGTTATTCATAAGCTGTATGACATTGGGGGCAAGCCAATGAACCTCTCTGTGCTTCAATTTCCCATCAGAAAAATGGGAATATGAGTGCCTATCTCAAGAAAGCTTCTGTGAAAATAAATGAAGTAATAGGCATAAAGAACTAAAAAGTGTGTCTGGCACATACTAAAATTTTGGGCTGCTCCTCTACAGTTCCATGTGTCAGACAATATACTATGCCTTTGTATACATTATTTTATTCACTCCTCCAAAGAATCCTACTGTTAACTGTTACCTTCATTTCACAAAGGCAGTATCTGAAATTCAGAGAGGTTCAGTAACTTGCTCAAGGCCAAACAGCTAGTCAGTGAGGTTTGCTCCTGATCTGCTCCACTCTAGAAATGGAACCCTAAGCACCACTCTATGCTCTCTCTTGGTAAATGCCCACCAAGACCCTCCAAAGTAACACCTCTACCCTCTTCCTCTTGCTCCAGGTTCCCAGCTGCATCAAGAACCTGCCAGTCTGAGAGGCTTCCTGTCACAGGTCACCAAAGCACTACCTGCCCCTCCATTGCTAGCCCCCAGCATGCAGGACACCCTAACGACACCGACAGTGTTAGCCCGTAGCCGGTCCTCAGTCTCCATCCAGGACCGGTCCTCCACTGTAGAGCAAGCTTCAAACACAGGCCAACCACCCTTGAAGCCATCAGTTGTGACACTCCCTGCAAAGTCCAAGAACCCCAATTCTGGGGCCAAGTTGCATCGGATGCGCCGGATCATTGCTGAGGATGCTGAATGGTCACTGGCCACTGTGCCCCTCCTCACTGAGCTCTGCATTCAGCACATTGTCACGAATTTCCATAGTGAGTCTGTCCCTGCCTTGGGTGGGAAGGGGAAGGCCAGGAGTGGGCACTGCCTGGAGCCGAGGCCTCAGAAGCTGGGTCCTGGGGCAGCCCCTGCCCTCCCACACAGCATCCTCACACCCACTCAACATTTCCCTTCTACCAGGACCAGGACAATTTTTCCCACTGTCCCCACTTCCAGGCCCCACCAGACTCCCACCCATACTGTGTCCTCCATGCCTATGCCCTCTCCTTGCCTTTTCGACCCTCTTCATCAAAACCCAGCCCAAACCATATTTAGCTCCTCCTCCCAAAAGCCCTCCCTGGTTAGCCACCCTCCACTCTGATGGAGTCTTCCATGTCATGTACGGGTTCTTACTTTGTTCTGTACTATATGCTCTGCAATATTAATCCTTCCCAAAGGTGAGTTGTTGGCCTCTCCTGTCAGATGGGACAGGGTCATCATTTTGCCTACAGCAACTATCACCACCTGACCTAATACATGTTCATTTTATATGTTTATCGTCTGCCTCCCCTCACTAGAATGTAAACTCCAAGAGGGAGGGACTTCCTCTGTTTCGTTCACTCATATCTCCAGCACTTAAAATAGTGTCTGGCACACAGTAGGTGCTCAGGAAATTTTGTTTTGAAATGAATGAATCAAATCAGGTTGGGAGCCTCTGAAGTCAGGGACTGTCTTCTCCATCAGACCAGATTGGACCTGAGATTCTTCCCCAGACTGGGAGCTTCCTGAGACCAGATGTTGAGATGTCCACCTTCAGGCAGGGGACACCCCAAAGCCAGGGGCTGTGTCTCCCCCCTTCAGATTGAGCCTCCCTGAGAGCAGACTCTGTCGCTCCTCTCAGACTGGAGCTCCCTGAGGGTAGGGGAGGGTTTGCCCTTTCCTCAGCATCCCCAGACAGTCCCAGCCTAGGACATCATGTTGTGGTGTACCCAACACTGTGACCCCTACTTTCCTTTCTCTGTTCCCAAAGAAAACCCTATCCTGAAGCAGCTGCTCCCAGAGCACCAGCAGAAGGTCCTGGAACACCTGTCCCCGGACCTGCCACTGGCTGTGACCGCCAACCTAATAGACAATGAGAGCTACTGGCGCCGCTGCTGCATGCAGCGCTGGCCTGTGTGCCATGTGGCCAGGCATGGCGGCAGTTGGAAGCGCATGTTCTTTGAACGGCACCTGGAGAACCTGCTCAAGCACTTTATCCCAGGCACCACGGACCCTGGCGTGATCCTCGACCTGCTGCCGCTCTGCAGGAACTACGTGCAGAGAATCCATGTGGATCAGTTCCTCCCACCCGTGCGGCTACTGCCCCAGCCCTGGCCAGGGGACCAGTCAGACTCAGGCAGCGAGGGAGAGATGGAGGAGCCAGCCATAGGCCACTACCAGCTGGGTGATCTGGTAGCTGGCCTGAGCCGCCTGGAGGAGCTAGATCTGGTGTATGGTGTCAAAGACTGTGGCATGAACTTCGAGTGGAACCTCTTCCTCTTCACCTACCGTGACTGCCACTCCTTGGCGGCCACCATCAAGGCATGCCACACCCTCAAGGTACCATCCTCCACCCCCTCAGAGTCTCCCAGATTCCCCCTCCCCTCCTCTTCCTTCTCTATTACCATCTTCTTCCTTCCTTTCCTTCTCATTCATTTACCGAGTGTATTTTATGCATCCTGCATCAAGCCACTAGGTTCTGGGGATGCAGAGATGAACAAGGCACTGAGCTCCCAGTTCACCAGCCATTTACTCATGGAACGAACATCTGCACTCCAAGCCCTGTCCTAGGTTCTGAAGATACAACCATGAACAAATTATACCATTTGTGCCCTTTGGGGTTAACAGTCTGGTAGGATAAAAAGTGCTAATCTGGGCTGGCTGGTTAGCTCAGTTGGTTAGAGCATGGTGTTATAACACCAAAGTCAAGAGTTCAGATTCCCATACCGGCCAGCCTCCAAAAAAAAAAAAAGAAAGAAAGAAAAGACATATAAACATAAAACTACAACTAGAATAAGGTTGACAGGTTTATCAAATAGAAATGCAGGGTGTCCGGTTAAATATGAATTCCAGGTAAATCGCAAGTAGTTTTTAGTACAAGTATGTTCCAAATATTCCACGGGACATACTTGTTTATCTGAAATTTAATTTTAACTGGGCATCCTGTATTTTATCTGGCAACCCTAACTTGGGATGAATGCTATAAAGAAAAGATGTTCTTGTGAGAGATTATAAAAGGGGCATTTGACCTTACCAGGGAAGGCTTCCCTTAGCAAGTGTCACTTGCAAAGAGATTAGAAGGAGGAGTAGGAGTCATAGTCTAAGGAAAGAGGGAGGAACATTCCAGGCAGAGGGAGTGGGACATACAGGCCTTATGGGCAGAGTGGACATGGCCAGCTCACGGGACTGAAAGAGAAGGCAGTGTGGCAGGGCTGTGTTGGGGGACAGGGGTGGGATGAAGGAGGCAGTCAGTCTGGACTCACTGGGTGAAGGAGGCCTCGTAAAGGAGTTTGTCTTTATCCTTAGGAGCTCTAGGACACCATCCAAGGGTTTCAGGCATAAAGAAAGTAATACTACTAGATTTTATATATGAAAACATCACTCTATTTGTGAAGAATGTCCTGGGCAGGGCAGCAGTGGACGTGGTAGATCACCATGGAGACCATTGCCTAATCCAGGTGAAGACAAGGGTAGTTTGGACTAGGGTAGTGTGTGTGGAGATGGAGAGAAGTGGAGAGATTTAGGAGATATTTAGCAGTTGGTCAACTGGCCCCGCTGGCATAAGGAAGATCTGGAAGAGAAGGAAGGAGGAGGAGATGTCAAGGCTTCTGGCTCATGAGACCAGATGGCTGCAGGGGCCATTTGCAGATACAGGCAATGTGGGAAGAGGACCAGTTTTGAGGGAGAAGAGCATGAGTTTCAGTTCAAGGCATCCCAGAGAAAAAGTCATTTCGTTAGTTGGTTGGAGGGTCTGAAGCTTGGCTGAGAGATCCAAACTGAATGTGGAAATGTGTGCCATCTTCATGAAGGTGGCAGCTGAAGCCCTGGATTTGGATGGAGTCTCATAAGGGAGAGCCAAAACGGAGACAAGAAGAGACTGGCATGTGGTCTTGGTGGAAGGAGAGCTTGCCAGGAAACCAGAGGGAGGAGGAAAAGGGGGACATGACATTGTGTCACAGAGCCAGAAGAGGGGCGTACTGTAAGTAGAGAGAGTGAGCAACGGGATGGAATGGAGCTGAGGACTGGATTTGGCCACATGGAGGTCACTGAGGGGGAGCTATTTCAGTGGAGTCCCGGAGCAGGGGCCAGATAGCAGCGGTTTATGGGGAGAGTGGGAAGTGAAGAATGGGGGGCTGTGATCAGCTATTTTGAGAACTTGACTGTGAAGGGGGAAAGATAGAGCAGTAATACGCAAAGACGAGGGATTTGGGTTTTCTTAAGAAGAAACTTGCATATGTTAGAACCAATATGAGGCTCCATCCAATTGCAAGAAAAGGGTTGGCTATAGGAGAAAGGCCGCAGGTTCATTGACCAAGGAAGGTTCCTGAGAAGGCAGGAGGGGTGGCACCTAGGAGTGAGGTGGGGCGGTTGGGCTTGGGCAGAGGGGAGAGGGGATGTGGTGGGTAGCAGTGGTCTGTGTTTGATATCAGAAAATGAGGGGTTCCCATTCAACAGCTGGGAAAGCAGGAGGAGAGTTCACCTGCTGAAAGGGGGCCCGGCAGGGAGGCCCCCTTAAGTATGAGATGGCTGAGAAATGTTGAAATAGTCATTGTAAATTATGAGAGAGTGTTAGCCAGAGAAGCGTAGTTGGATTGGCACACAGTTCCAGTGATACCAACCAGTTCCACCAAGTGACATTTTCCATCATGGCAGTTGCTTGGGCACAAGCATGGAGAAAATAAGAGATTGGGGTTGATCCAGGGTTGGGCCTTTGCCAGAACGATGCAATGAAAAGAGAAGAGACACAGGGCTGGCCCATGGCTCACTTGGGAGAGTGCGGTGCTGATAATGCCAAGGCCACGGGTTCAGATCCCTATATAGGGATGGCCGCTTAGCTCACTTGGGAGAGCGTGGTGCTGACAACACCAAGTCAAGGGTTAAGATCCCCTTACCGGTCATCTTTAAGGAAGAGACACAAAGACTCCAAGCTGGCTAAGAGGGATGTGAAGAAGGGAGAGGACTGAAGGGTAGGGAGAGAGTAGAGGCCAGCCACAGAGAGGTCTCTAGGGAGAGTGGAGGAGAACCAGCCCGTGGGAAGGAGAGGGGAGGGCTCCCATGTACAATATTCATAAAGCTAGCCCCACCCTATCCTTTATTCCTTCATCCCATTGGTTTCCTGCTTCTCACCCTCCCCCACTTTCTCCCTGGTTCCTGCCCTGGCAACCTCCTTCAGAGTTCCTCTCCTTTCCATGGTGGGTCTTAGCCAGATGAGGAGGGCACAGTGTGGAGCTGGGGCATCAAACAGACCTGGATTCCAAACCTGCCTCCACAGCTCAGTCACTGTTGACTCTGGGCAAATGATGCAACTTCCCTGAGCCTCCACTTTCTATCTGTAAAATGGAGAAGACTCACTCTTCATTAGGATATTGAGGGATAGAGATACTGGTTATGAAATGTTTGAGCAGCATACCTAACACATAGTTATTGCTCTATAAATGGTAGCCTTTCTACCCTGCTACCTGCCACCAATTCTGCACTACTCTGCCTTGCTGGGTAGGCCTGCCCCTCCTAAGAACCAGACAGGTGGCCAACACTAGGTGAGCGGAGCCTCACGCCTCTCTGTGGCTCCCTCCTCTACCTGCAAAAGGTAGGTAGGCAACCAGATTATATCTGGCTGGCAGATGCTGTAGACCCTCTACCTGCCCACAGATCTTCAGGCTGACCCGAAGCAAGGTGGATGACGACAAGGCACGCATCCTAATTCGCAGCCTCCTGGACCACCCGGTCCTTGAGGAGCTAGATCTGTCGCACAACCTCATTGGGGACCGTGGTGCACGCGGTGCTGCCAAGCTGCTGAGCCACAGCCACCTGCGTGTGCTCAACCTGGCCAACAACCAGGTGCGTGCACTTGGTGCCCAGTCGCTGGCTCACGCTCTGGCACACAATACCAACCTCATCTCCCTCAACCTACGCCTCAACTGCATTGAGGACGAGGGCGGCCAGGCACTGGTCCATGCCTTGCAGACCAACAAGTGCCTCACCACGCTGCACCTGGGTGGCAATGAGCTGTCTGAGCCCACCGCCACGCTCCTCTCCCAGGTGCTCTCCATCAACACCACGCTCACCAGCATCAACCTGTCCTGCAACCACATTGGGCTGGTGAGCCACTGCTTCTGGGGCCTGTGTGTGGTAGGGGTGGAATCCAATTGCCATAGGGTACTTGCAGGATAACTGTGAAGACCACAGACTTTACATACTACATACTGCATTGAGTATGCATACATACCATGCTAAGGTATATATCCCAATATCCATTATTTTTTCTCTAATCCTCACAGTTATCTAATTATGAGTATTCTTAACCCCACATTCCACATGGAAAATTGAGTCTCGGAGAGGTTAGTGAATTGCCCAAGAGCATCCAGTCAGTAGAAAGTGGCAAAGCTGTGATTCAAACCCAGGATTGAATGAAAGCCTGAGTCCTTTCTAATAGACAGCGTCTTCCTCCCAAACTTCCTTGACCAAGTCAGGGAGTAAGAAATGTAATATACATGAACACCTAGTGAACATATACATAAATACAATATCATTGAAATTTACTTTTACTGCTTGTAATACTGATGTTTTCCTTTATATTCTTCTCTATTTTATTTTTAAAAACACTTCTGTGACCCATTAAATTAACTTTGCAACACACCACTGGGTCACAACCATAGAACAGCAGCATTCTGCCTCCCAACATGAAATTGTTTCACATGGACCCTGGCCCACCCAATCCAGAAGGGGCTAGAGCTGTGAAGACTGTCGAGGAGGGCCCTCTGTGTACTCCACTTAGGCCCTGAACCCTCGACTAAACCTCACCATGAGACCAGTTTTTGGCTCCAAGAGCTTAACCAGGAAATGGCTTAAATAGGAGGAATATTCAGTATGCCCCATAACCAGAAGCCCCAGGGTAAGGAGTTCTGGGGTTGGTAAACCCCTTGGCTTAGTGCCACCCTCTGCTCTGCCCACCCCGGCCATGTGGCGTGGCCTCTCGGGTGTTCCTTTCATGATCCCAAGATGGTTGCTGCAGTTCTGACATCTCACATAGGTCACATGCCCAGAGGCAGAAAAAGGGAAAACATCCCCTTTATTTTCTTTTTAGAATAAGATGAGTCTTCCCAGAAGCCACCCCTTCCAAACTTCTCCCTCACATCTTATTAGACAGTTTTGTCCCACATGCCCACAGCTGAACCAGGGAAATGGAATTACCATCATTGCCAGAGATCCATGTTTTTCAAGTCATTAAGATTGAGAAATCAATTTAGTGGGTTTTGTCCACCATTTTTTGAATGGAATGGATTAGAAGATAGAATATGTCGGTGTGCTGCACAAATAGGTTAATATTGTTTTGTGAAACTTCTGTTTTAGTCACATCTCTAAGTAAATGAGTGTGTGTGATCCGGGGTAGTAATGTAAAATGACCCCTTCCCTTTCACCCCTCTCCCAGGACGGCGGGAAGCAGCTCCTGGAAGGCATGTCAGACAACAAGACCCTCCTGGAGTTTGACTTGCGCCTGTCAGACGTAGCCCAGGAGAGCGAGTACCTCATTGCCCAGGCCCTCTGTGCCAACCGAGAAGCAGCCCGCCAGCGGGCCTTGAATCCCAGCCACTTCATGTCACCGATCACTGCCAGTGGCCCTGAGAACTCTGTGGGCTAAGATGGGGGACAGGGCTAGGGCTGTGACCTGACGTGGGTCACTGTCCCAGCCCCATCCTTCCTTTCATAGCCCTGCCATGCCTTACAGAGTGTCACCCTGGTTCAGAGGGGTTAGGAAAGGGGAGACCACAAATACCTTGGAGTGAGTGATCAAGGGCTGAATGGGTAAAGAAGCGAAAAAGGGAAGGGAGCCTAGGATAGGGGAGGACGGAGTATGAAGTGGGGACCCAGCCCCTGTGCCCAGGGAGAGGGTATTACTGGACCCCTGCAAATGACCAATTTCTTCCAGGAATAGGAAAGCCAGAGGTTGCTGAGGGACTATGCCTGCCCAGACTCTCCTGGGGGGATCTGCCCACTTCCCTGACCCCCTTTCCCACCATTTTCCTCTCTACCAAACAGATCCCTGACCTTCAAACACACACACACACACACACACACACACACACACACTCCCCTGACCTTCAAACACACACACACACAAACACACACACACACTCCTCTGGCTACAGCACAGCTATGCCTGGCTCTTTCTGCCACCCTCTCCCCTGCAAATGCCACCACCTCCTTGTTGCTTGATTCTGTTTTAAGTGATCCAGTTGTACAGGCCACACTATCCTCTAATCCCCCAACCTGGGAAGAGGACAACAGAGGTGACAGGAGGGGCTCAAACCCAGTGCCTCCCTTGGGAAGGCAACTGTAGATGATGACTGCTAGGGAAGCGTGGCACTACCCCTGCCAGCCACCCCAGGGAGCTTCTTGGGAAGGGAGGCAGGAGACAAGAAGTGCCACACTAGGAAGGGAAGTCAGTGAGTCATCCGCAACTTTATTATCCACCAGTTTGATTTGTACAATCGCTGCGCTTGGAAATCCATGACAGAAAGGCCACAGTGTGATGCACCCAATTGACAGAGACCTGTCTTTTCCCCAGCCAGGCCCAGCCCAGCCCACAAGCCCTTGGTCCCCAGGACACATGGAGCCTTCCAGGTGCTCCCCATGAGTCCTCATCACTCTGTGGCTGCCCACCCTGGGGCCACATCCCAGGAATCACAGCAGCCCACAGGGCCGCCAGAGGCCCTGACTGATGGGAGTTAGGCTAAGCCCCACCTACCATCCTCCTTGGGTTTAGTGGCCCAGAGCCTCCAAACCCACAGGGGTGTCTGCTCTCCAGGGACTCCTTCTAACAAACAGGCGCTGAGCAGAGCACCCAAGGGGGCTTGGGAATGACTGCATGTGGGTGCCTGTCCAGGCAACCTACAATCTGTCTGTGCCTAACACCCTCTGACAGTTCCAGAGTGCAAACATGTAGGTGTGCGGGTGTGTGAATGTGTGTGTGTGTAGCCACAGCTGCTTGCAGAAGTTCTAATTAGAGAAAAAAGAACATTCAGTATAAAGTTTAATTTTAGAGATTAATTAATTTTCTGGTTTTTATTTTCCCTGGAAATCAATAAAGCTACCAAGAAAATATATCAAAGAATTGGTTTCTCTCTTGTCTGTGCGTGTGTGGGAGTGAGGCTGTCTGTGTGAGAAAACCTAGGCAGAAATGGTCAATACAGGCAAAACTAGTAACAGGGCCCCCCTCCCCTCTTCAGAGACCAGGCTCTGTCTCATGAACAGGCCTGAGCAAGGAGGAACTGAGTTCCTCCCTCCTTGGAGCCAAAGGCTTCCCCCACACAAGGGCATGACATCCACGTGCCAGCTTGCCAAGAACTGAGGCCTGAGGCCCCAACTCACCACCTGCACCTCACAGATGTCCCTTCAGATGAAAGAGGAGTGCTCCAACCTCCAGGCCGCTGAGGAGCACAGACTCAGGGGCCAGGTGGGCACGGCTGCCCAGGAAGACCTTGTGGGCAGCTGTTTCCTGCTGCCCAAGCCTCCCCACTCCCAGCCCCTCCCTCTTTATTCGGCCATCTCTGCGCGAAAGTAAAGCTCAACCCCTTGATGAGCCATGGGCTGTGGTGTCCCCACAATTTGGGCCCCCCATGTCCTCCTGGGAAGGAGGGAAGGGGAGCCAGAGGCAATGTTGCATAGGTGGAGGCCATGCCCATTAGCAGCTGCAGGCCTGGCTGGAGGAAGATGGCAGGGGCTAAAGGAAGGGACAGGGGAGTTCTGATGGCTCAGGCCAAGTGAGAAGCAGCAGGGGTAAGAGATGCCCAGGTGGCCCAAGGGTTATCCTCTCTAGCCTGAAATATGAGCTCAATCCCTGGGCGCTAAATCTGCTGGGAAAACTTTAGCTAGGGAGTTGGGAGGCGGGGGTTGCACACAGACATGCACAATGAAGCACATTGGGGTGGAGGTGGGGGGGGTGGCACAGGGAGAGGAGGCGGTGTCAGAGCTTCAGGAGAACAGGACGTGGGGCCAGCACCCTGGGGTGGTGGCAGGATGCCCCTTTGAAGACCCTGGGACACAAAGCAGGGCTTCAGCTTATGGGACAGGGGAGCATGAGTCAGTCAAAGTCTAGAGAATTCTGCCTCTGACCCTGCCACTGTAATTGAGTATTTCTCGAGTTGGGGCTTATGACAATGTCCTCAGCCCCGCAGGGGCATGTGTGAAGGTCAAGCACACTCCACTCGTTCCCACAGGTCTAGGGGAGGCAAGGGTTGCTGCTCCCCACAGACACCCACACCTTTGGAAGTCCTTTCACTCTACCCTCCACTGCCTTCTCCTTTTTTACCCCCATCTGCTTCCAGAGCTCCCCGTTGTCACCCAGGTCTGTCTCATGCTTTCTCCACGTAGTCACTCACCCTAGCCAGCTTTGACGAGTGCCATCTGGGTGGCATCTCACCCCCTCTAAAGGCAGTAGCCACCCAGAACCCCAGTGAGAAGGCTTCTGAGAGGCTGCAGAGTCTGGAGGAAAGACCGAGGTACACTGCCCTCCACAGTTTACCTGCCCCTCCCCCTGCACCTTGGCAACAGCGAACTCTTCAGAACCAGGGAGAGGGAGGTGTGATGTCTGTGTGGCGAGCACAGCCCCTCCAGGACCCAGACTCCTGGGGCCTGGTGAGATAAACAACCACAGAGGAAGTGGCAAAAAGGAAACCCCAGTCTTTGGGTCCAGCGCCAAGAGGAAGACAGCGCTGGGATGGAGTACTGGGGCTGACACCTAGCCCGATCCGCAGACCCACTGAATTCATCAGCTGGTTGGAAGCCAGCCCTGCTGGTCACCACACCACTGCCCCCTCACAGAGACAGGCCCCAGTGGGGAGAGGCCACAGGGGAAGGAAAGCCCCAAGTTCCCTCCCCCATAGCCTCTGAACCTCCCAGCTGCACAGCGAGGGCCTCTCATTTGTGACGAGACTCAACGCGGGTCCCATAGCACAGCTGACAAATAAGTCAGAAAATCCGCTGAAAGACTGAACGGGAAATCTCGCGTGTGCATGTAGGAAAGGGAGGTGTCCCTTAGGAATTCAGGGGTGGGGCTGGAAGAGACGACTCTGCCAGGGTGGGATTCTCGGGGAGCTACCGACTCCCTCCCTCTATGTACAGGGATGGCGGGGGTCCCAGCCCCATCGGGGTCAGTCCGAGGCGCCCTCACCAACCCCCACCTTGCCGCCATACCCGGCACAGCCTCAGCCACCACCGTGATTTGCCCCACTACGCTCAGGGAGCACAGTCCGGCGAGGGGCAGGTGGGAGCACGGCCCGGGCCTCTCCAGGGGCCAGAGGTCACAGTGAGGTCTCTACGCAGGAGCCGTGGCGGTGCAGCGGCCGATGGCTGTGGCCCAGACACCCCTCCTGCCGGTGGACGATGAGGACGGGGAAGTAAAGAGCGTCGTGGTAAGGGGGCGGCGGCCCGGCCTCCTCCTCGTCGTCGTCCTCATCGTCGCCCATGCTGGCCTGGCTCGACAGCCGCGTCTGCTCCGTGGGGCAGCTCGCCTCGTTGACGCTGCCGCTCCGGCTGCGCCACAGACAGCTGCGCCGAGAGCCGTAGAGACGGCCCAGAGAGAAGCGACTGCCCCCGCAGCCCGCGCCGCCGCCGAGCCCCGGGCCGGCCCGCGGGCTGGCGCAGATGCTCAGGGCGCTGCGCGAGAAGATGGACGAGCTGCTGACGGCGCGCTGGCAGTGCTCGCAGCTGCG